AGTGACACACTTCCTGCTGCCAGTTGGTGGCGCTATAACTTTGACTCACAATAGTCACATCCATGTGATTGTCTTCTTACAGCGAACACACTGCTGAAGTTTCATCAAGATCAGTTAATGTATGCTGAAGTTATAACAAACTTCCTGGTTCATGTTTCTCGTCATGATTTCGTTTCCTCGCCACGGCCAAACCGTTCGAGATATCAAAAATCCCCTCGCAAACTTTCATCCTCAATGTCTTGACTTCATGCTGACCGAGTTTTGTCGAATTTGGATCAAAGCTCTAGGAGGAGTATATGACATTCCATTGCGAGCGTTTTACAAACAAACCTCAATAGCCGACTTCCTGTTGGGCTGGGGTAAAAAGTAAAAGCGCGAGGTATAGATGAAACTATGAGATCAACATGTGCACCGAGTTTCATATTATTATATACAAACGTGTTTGAGTTATGGACCAAGTGTTCGGACCCCGTTCCAGGGGCGCTGACGAGCCGCCCTGCCACGCCCGGTACCAGCTTCAGCCCGGCTCTGATGGCCGCGGGTTCTGACCCATGTGCAAAGTTTCAAGAGTTTTCGAGCACGTTAAGGGCCCCAAAAATGCCCAAAAGGTTACAAAATAATAAATATAGCTGCGAGCAGCGATGGCGGCCCAAGCCGGTGGCACCGCAACCCCGGTTCCTTTAGTTACCTAAAGGCACCCGGGTAGCGGTGCCGAAGGCTTTGGCCCTTTTATGATTAAATGTTAAAACGGCTTGCCATACTCTGTCATTTCGACTAGTCACAATTATGTTACAGATGTCTTAAATGATAATACAAACTATCCAAAATGTAATTACGAATAGACAGAAAGACGTTGTTGATATCTACAATGTTAATTCCGGACAGGCAAACTTAGCTTTTAAATGTTAAAAGGGCTTGCCATACAGGGACGTAGGCTCAGAGAGAGGCTCACCATATTCAAACCAAAATATCTGACTTCCTCTTGGTCCGAGCTAATGACTATGTATTAGAAAGTTGTCCGGCTTGAGGAGTACAATGTATATACCGATTTTTGTAACTGTAGATAAAACTAACAACCCCACTTTTGTCAAAAGGTGGCGCTATTTAGTCCTTGCACATTGCCCGTTTCTGAAACTTTGCACGTCTACTGGCTAATAAATGTGATGTATCTGTTGAGTTTCAAGCAATTTCAATTTCAATTTGACTGTTGAAAAGAAGTGCGCCGATTAGATACTCAGGATCGGTATCGGCTCTGACACTGCCATCTTTGACGAGGCTGATTCAAATTCTATATTGTGCATATACTATTCTGTTAGGCACAAAGGCACAAAAACTTTCTAAAGTACCATAAAGTTTTTGTGTACTGTATTATTAGTGTTCTGAAGCTATTATGTGATATAGAAATTAATATTTAAGTCATTAAATTCAAGAACACAAACTTTTCCCTCTCTGCGCCTGTCAGTCATTCTCCATTCAGCATTCAAACAGCACGTCACATTCGGTTACAGTCAATGATGAAACGATCTTCAATGATTCAATGTTAATCCTATTATACTGGATCTTTAAGATAAAGGTCTAAAGGTCTATATTTTCGAATGAAGAAACTTTTTCTTGCTGGACTTTATTGCTGTAACTTAATCGTGTTACTTTCTACCGGGTGTCGGACGCTGTCGGTTAGATCACAACACTAGAGTCAGAGCACTATAATTGTTCTTCACGCACACAGTAACTGAAATTTAAAACCTTTAAAAGAAAAGGCTCAATAAACTATTGCATAGATAGATAATGTATAATACACTGTTCATAAATATGTATTTCCTTTGTGCTTTGAACTTTTCAATACGGACTCAATGCGCTGTAACTTCATGTGGCTTCAAGCACATCATTCTCCGCTCGGGATGCACATAAGTGCTTTGTGCTGCACCGTATTGGAGCCGTAATATCATAATGCAGTGACGTAATGACAGATTATTAATTGCCTTTCAATTATATGTTGCTTTATAGCAGCCATGGCTATATTTTTTTTTTAATGATTTTTGTTATCTTGTTTTTCATGAATGTATTTTTCAAAAATAAGAGCAATGTGTATTATCTATTATTAATATGGTTTATAATAGCATTTTTGTCATAGATTATGACAAAGTAATCATATGATCCACCAGCGAGGAACCAGCAGAACAGAGTGAACATTCTTTCTGTTTAGTTCAATCCTACTTAATAGGAATTTATTTAAAATGCTCGCTCTACTCCACACCATTAATGTCTTGTGCGGACATCCGTATTTTGACTTTCGGTTTTAAGTAAGCGATTTAAAAGCTCCCAAGTCCCAGCGGAGTCACACGTTGATTAACCGGTGGGAATATACACAATAGGCCTACCTGATATTGAACACAAGAGGGCAGTATAGCACTACGTATGACTCAGATTATTATTTTTTTATGAATTTTACAACAATTCTGGCTGTTTTTGAACGTAAACACAATTCTTAAATGAAAAAAAAGGAAAAATTGGGGAAGTTATAATATTTGTATAATTTAATTTAGAAACAAATGATGTATAATTACATTTTTAGAAGATATGAGGCTTTTAGTGTTTACTTTTTTGACATTACTTTAATCTTTTGCCATAGTTGCACATGTCTATTGGCTAATAAATGTGATGTATCTGTTGAGTTTCAAGCAATTTCAAGCAAGCTAAGAGTCCCAAAAGCATCAAAAAATAATGTTAAAGTTTGTTTCGTTGCCACGGCATTTTGAAAGTGACACACTTCCTGCTGCCAGTTGGTGGCGCTATAACTTTGACTCACAATAGTCACATCCATGTGATCGGTCTCTTACAGCGAAAACACTGCTGAAGTTTCGTCAAGATCAGTTAATGTATGCTGAAGTTATAACACACATCCTGTTCCATGTTTCTCGCCATAATTTCGTTTCCTCGCCACGGCCAAACCGTTCGAGATATCAAAAATCCCGTGGCACTTTTTCATCCTTAATGTCTTGACTTCACGCTGATCGAGTTTCGTCGAATTTGGTTCAGTGCTCTAGGAGCAATAATTTAAATTACATTGCATGTGTTTTAAACACAACCCTAAATAGCCAACTTCCTGTTGGGCTGGGGTAAAAAGTAAGAGTGTGAAGTATATATGAAACGATGAGATCTATATGTGTACCAAGTTTCATATTATTACATGCAAGTGTGTTTGATTTATGGACCAAATTTTCAGACCAAGTTTATTGACCAAGTTAATCTGATTAATAAACTAATTATATAAAACTATTGTCAATTCACTACAATTAAACTAGTTATATGCCTTTACTTATAAAAAATAAAAATAAAAACTTATTTAAAAAATACCAGGCTTGAGAAATGTATTTTCTTTATGCAGGTCATACACACAGCAGTGAAATGGTTAAGCCCCCTCCCCCTGCACACACACACACACACACACAGACAGCCAGCCAGCCAGCCAAAGGCTCAGAGTGGCCATATTCAAACAAAAATATCTGAGTTTCTGTGGGTCCTAGCTAATAAGTGTCAATTAGAAAGTTGTCCGGCTCGAGGAGTACAATATACATACCAATTTTTGTAACTCTAGTTAAAACTAACCACCCCACTTTTGTCAAAAGGTGGCGCTACTGAGCCCTCACCACGCCCGTTTCTGCAACTTTGCACATGTCTACTGGCTAATAAATGTGATGTGTCTGTCGAGTTTCATGCAATTTGAAGCATGCTAAGGGTCTCAAAAGCATCCTAAAAGCATCCTAAAAGAAGGGCAAAGTTTGATGCGTCGCCACGGCAACAGTTTCAAAGATATCAAGAATCCATTCACAGGTCTACATCTGCCGTATGTTTACATTATACAGATGAAGTTTGAAGCAAATCGGGTAAAAATAAAAGGGTGATTTCAAAGCATTTTGAAAGTGACACACTTCCTGCTGCCAGTTGGTGGCGCTATAACTTTTACTCACAATAGTCACATCCATGTGATCGTCCTCTTACAGCGAGCACACTGCTGAAGTTTCATCAAGATCAGTTAATGTATGCTGAAGTTATAACACACTTCCTGTTTCACGTTTCTCGCCATGATTTCGTTTCCTCGCCACGGACAAACCGTTCGAGATATCAAAAATCCCCTCGCAAACTTTCATCCTCAATGTCTTGACTTCACGCTGACCGAGTTTCGTCGAATGTGGATCAAAGCTCTAGGAGGAGTATTTCAAATACCATTGCGAGCGTTTTACAAACAAACCTCAATAGCCGACTTCCTGTTGGGCTGGGGTAAAAAGTAAAAGCGCGAGGTATAGATGAAACGATGAGATCAACATGTGTACCGAGTTTCATATTATTACATGCAAGCGTGTTTGAGTTATGGACCGAGTGTTCGGACCCCGTTCCAGGGGGCGCTGACGAGCCCCCCTGCCACGCCCAGGTACCAGCTTCAGCCCGGCTCTGATGGCCGCGGGTTCTGACCCGTGTGCAAAGTTTCAAGAGTTTTCGAGCACGTTAAGGGCCCCAAAAGTGCCCAAAAGGTAGTAAAATAATAATTATTATAATAATAATAGAGAAGAAAAATAATCGCAAGGAAAACAATAGGGCCTTCGCCCTTTCAGGGCTTGGGCCCTAATAAACTTAAATGAAGTTTTATGTCAGCTAGTTGCCAAAGCAAAATTTGGTGAATTACTTTAAATATTTAAATATTTAAAAAATAAAGAAAGAAATAATAATAAAATTACTTAAACTTTAAAATTAAATTGAAAACAAAACTATTTAAAAAAAAATTTATTCAAAGCATAAAAAACTTATTATAGAATGGGAATTAATCAAAAAGTAACACAAAAGCATAAGATAATTTTGTCCATCAACAACCTTGAATATGTCATCAGAAAAAAAAGTCATTATTACATTTTCAAGTCTCTGTTTATGTATATGGACAGTAATGATCCAATAAAATTGTATGCAGTATTATTGAATATTGTATGCAGTATTATTGCCTTAATTGTTGACGTGTTTGTGTGTGTGTGTGTGTGTGTGTGTGTGTGTGTTTTCAGTGTGGAGTAGAGAACATCAGACGAGCAGAATCTCTCAATGGAAATCCTCTGTTCTTCAGGGTGAGTCTCGACAGCAGCAATAACATCATCGTTTCAAATAATATCAATGTCTGCTCGCACACACGGTTTTGATGTTTAAATATAAATATATATATATATATATATATATATATATACACACACAAGCAAGTATGTGTGTGTGTGTGCGTGGGTCAGTTAGATTGTTTAAGAAATCAATACTTGTATGCAGTGGTCCCTATGCAGTGCAGTCTATGCAGTGCAGTCTATGCGGCGCCCCCTATGCAGTGCAGTCTATGCAGTGCAGTCTATGCGGCGCCCCCTATGCAGTGCAGTCTATGCAGTGCAGTCTATGCCGCGCCCCCTATGCGGCGCCCCCTATGCAGTGCAGTCTATGCAGTGCAGTCTATGCCGCGCCCCTATGCCGCGCCCCCTATGCAGTGCAGTCTATGCAGTGCAGTCTATGCGGCGCCCCCTATGCAGTGCAGTCTATGCAGTGCAGTCTATGCGGCGCCCCCTATGCGGCGCCCCCTATGCAGTGCAGTCTATACAGTGCAGTCTATGCAGTGCAGTCTATGCGGCGCCCCCTATGCAGTGCAGTCTATGCTGTGCAGTCTATGCGGCGCCCCTATGCAGTGCAGTCTATACAGTGCAGTCTATGCCGCACCCCCTATGCGGCGCCCCCTATGCAGTGCAGTCTATGCAGTGCAGTCTATGCCGCGCCCCCTATGCGGCGCCCCCTATGCAGTGCAGTCTATGCAGTGCAGTCTATGCGGCGCCCCCTATGCAGTGCAGTCTATGCAGTGCAGTCTATGCGGCGCCCCCTATGCGGCGCCCCCTATGCAGTGCAGTCTATACAGTGCAGTCTATGCAGTGCAGTCTATGCGGCGCCCCCTATGCAGTGCAGTCTATGCTGTGCAGTCTATGCGGCGCCCCCTATGCAGTGCAGTCTATACAGTGGAGTCTATGCAGTGCAGTCTATGCGGCGCCCCCTATACGGCGCCCCCTATGCAGTGCAGTCTATGTAGGGTCTTTATGTAGTGCAGTCTATGCAGTGCTCCCTATGCAGCACAGTCTATGTAGGGCCCTTATGTAGTGCTGTCTACGCAGTGCTTCCTATGCAGTGCTCCCTATGCAGTGCTCCCTATGCAGTGCTCCCTATGCAGCGCCCCGTATGCAGTGCAGTCTATGCAGCGCAGTCTATGTAGCGCAGTCTATGTAGGGCCCTTATGTAGTGCCGTCTATGCAGTGCTCCCTATGTAGTGCAGTGCACCCTATGTTGTGCAGTCTATGTATGTAATGCTCTCTATGTAGTGCTCCCTATGTACTGCAGTCTATGCAGTGCACCCTATGTTGTGCAGTCTATGTATGTAGTGCTCTCTATGTAGTGCTCCAAGCATGTAAGCACTGGTGGTCTCTCTGGTTCTCAGGCGTTGGCTGATCTGGTTCAGTCTCATCTGAAGTCCAACGAGTCGTGTTCCCGTCAGCTGACCCTCCGCTGTCCGCTGTGTGTGAATCCCACATGTGGGCAGACCAAGGCCTTCTTCGCCAACCAGAAACCCTGACCTCTGACCTCTCATCAGGACCATTTAGGAGTGCATTCGTTTATGTGGTTTAAACCTGTATGATTGAGATATTGAGCTGAAAACACCATTAAAGCATCATGTAGTTGATGGATATAATGCTGAAGTCATACGTCATGAAATAATAATCAGAAAAATTAATGAAACTTTCAAACATAATATAAAGAATCTAAAAAAAAACAAGAAAATGTGCGTGTGTTCTTTGTTGATATACAGTATGAGATGATCTTGAAATGCTTTGTTTTATGTTCTGTAGTTTTAAAATGTATAATGCAATCAAGGATGTTTGAGAGATGAACATATTTGATACTCTTCTATTAAATTATGTCTGGATAATCAAGTAAACCCGCTTTAGTCCGTTTTCAAAATGAAAAGAAATATTAATATATAAATTATATTGTGCATAAATAAAATGACTCTAGTTAGAACAATAGGATTTTTTTTTGCATTATTTACATGAAAATTACATGTCATTTTCTGTTTATTTATTTATTGTTAATGATGTGTCTCAACCTAATAGAAAGACAGTAAATACTACACTATTGTGTATGTGTGTATATTTAACTCGCATTTAAAAAATAATTATTAGAATTAACATTATATGTATGAGTATATAGCCGTATATATTTATGAAACTTTTCATTACATTAAATACATTTTCATTTGCAAAATAATGTCAAAAATTGTTACTGGCCCTAAGAATAAGTTTAATTTCCTTTATGCAAAATATAATTGTGTGTGTGTGTGTGTGTGTGTATGTGTGTGCGCGTGCGCTCTGGGGCCGCTGGATCCTCCTGGTAATTGAAAAGTGTAACGGCAGCAGCAGCTCTGTGACCTCTAATTGAGAGAGAGCATTGATTTCTGCAGAGAGAGAGAGAGAGAGAGAGAAATGGGGATGATGGAGCAGAAAGGAGAAATGAACCAGTGAGTGATTCTGTTGGGGAGAGACTGATCAGATGGGCGATTGGAAAGGACAGATGTGGTGAAAGACAGAGAGAGAGAGAGAGAGAGAGAGAGAGAGAGAGAGATGAACGAGAAATCACTTTTCTTCTCCATGGACCTTTTTTAAACCCTAAAATCTTGTGTTTGGCTCATTCTACACCTCATGTTCTGAGACATGTCTTTAATTTTATTCATTTATTTATTTTTTCATGACAAATTATATTATCATCATCCACATTTGAGCAAAAATCAGTTGAAAAATGTACTTCTTATTTGAGATGATCCAAAGAATCACCGTCAGTCACATGATAATTGTTTAGTTTCATGGCTTTTCTTTGTGTGAGTGTGTAATAGGCTAATCCTGGTTCTGAAACTGTTCTCCGTATTTCTGTTGTTTCTGCTTCTCCGGTTTCTTTCATCACGGATCTTAGATGAGAACTAATAGTCTTGCTCTTTGTTGTCTCTACTCTCTCTATCTGTAGTAAAATGATGACCATCATCTGGTCAAGAAGTGGTTATTAACTTGTTACCATTTTTTTTTTTCTAAGAACCCTGTTGACTTTCTGAAGGCATGATTGTTTATTAATTAAGATTAAGATGTAATTAGTGCTGTCAAATTGATTGATCATGAATTAAAGGGATAGTTAAATGGTAAATGGACTGCATTTATATAGCCATTCACAGACCCAATGGCCACCAAAGCGCTTTACATTTGCCTCACATTCACCCATTCATACACACATTCACCGACGGCGGTGTCAGCCATACAAGGCGCAATCCAGCTCGTCGGGAGCAGCAGGGGTTAGGTGTCATGTGACTACAGTGGCTCAAAGTATACGTTTATACAAAACAAAACACAAATAATGACTTTATTCGACTATTCCTTTTCTTCCTTGTGGGCCTGAGACGTGAGTTCAAGAGATTTCCACGACGAATGCGCGAGAACTGAGAAGAGGACGTTCTTGTTCTACTACTTCTTGTTACAGCTAGGCTAGCTGCTCACTGTATTCTACCACCATCCACCTACTGTATAAGATGAAGTGCTTGTAGCTGTCAACATTGAACATTGAAAATAAGGGGGATTTACCAGAGTCCATCCCCAAAATAAGGTTTTTTTTTTCTTTTACACAATTCTTACCCACAAACTTTAAACAGTAACTAAACACTAAACCAACTTTTTTTAGTTAATGATCTGTAAGAATGGATCTTTATTAATACCAGTCATTGATTCGAGTAACTTTTTTGCCATTTGTTTATAAAGTGTTCTATTTCTACAATATATGGTGTAAAAACATCTTAGTGCTGCTCTCTTCAGGTTGAACGGTGGCTACTGCAGTTGAATTTTCCTATTGGATGTTCCGCACTTCGTGACGTACGCAGGTTATTAGCTCACCAGGCGAGCTACGCCCTTGGCAGTATAAAAACCATCTTGTGTCGTCAAAACCACTGTAGGGAGTCAGGAATTGGAATTGTGAGTATTGAAAACGATCAGGATAGAGTGGTTTAGCATCTATTTCGTCCCCTCTATCTCCGCTGGGGTCAGCCCACTTTTTCAGCATTTTCAAATATTGCCAGTGGGTGGAGTCAGGCTCTGACCAGGGGTTTAGTTACCCTTTAAAAATAAAGATAATTAAAAGTCTAAAGAGTTTATAACTAGCCTACATACATGTGTGAGAGAGAAAGAGACAGTTGTCATTTACAAATATATATCATAGAGAATGTGTAAATACTCATAATCCGTTTATGAAGAAAACCGACAGGCTTTGGGGAAACGGTGGGGTAGTTAGTGATGCTTCGGAGGCTGAGTGCTGGAGATGATCTACAGGAGAGGTCTGTGCACCTTTACCGATCAGAGCGCGCGCTGACACGGAGTAAAGTCTTTATACTCGACGCGTCCGCACGAAATGACAAGTTGGTTGCATAAGACCGGCAAGATCATTTCGCATAAGCTCTGTACAGCTTTTTTTGTGACAGCACGCACGGCGTTAAACGACTTAAAGCCGAATCTGCCCAAGCTTGTCTCACACAGTCAGAGCGTAAAAATACGGGATATTTAAGGGAAAATACTAAAATGGGAAGACAGCGGGAAAAGAGCTAAAATACGTGAGAAACCCAGAAAAACGGGAGGGTTGACAGCTATACGTCATTTTATACAGTAGGTGGCAGTACTCCTAAGGAGCTCTACAAAATAGTAGAATAAGAACGTCCTCTCCTCAGTTCTCGCATGCGTCGTGGAAATCTCTTGAACCCACGTTGTTTTCCTCACAAGAAGTATTCTCGTTACTTGATAAACTTATACTTGAGCCACTGTAGTCAAATGGAATATTTAAACATTTTCTTCAATGACTTTCTGTGCCATCAAATTTCAATCCCTCCTATGTAGCAGCGATCCACCTCTCAAATTTAATCAAAGAAATCTTCATTTGTGTTCCGAAGGTGAACGAATGTCTTACGGGGTTGGTACAACATGGGGGTGAGTAGGCTAATTAATGACTTAATTTTCATTTTTGGGTGAACTATCCCTTATTTGTGTGTGTGTGTGTGTGTGTGTGTGTGTGTGTGTGTGTGTGTGTGTGTGTGTGTGTGTGTGTGTGTGTGTGTATAAACAAACTTTTATGTTAGATGTGATTAATTGTGATCAATCGATTTGACAGCACTAATACTTTATAAAACGGTTAGTTCCAAGATTCTGATTGGTCAATAATGCTTTATTCATGATAAAAACGTCCATGACCACTTCACCCAACGGGTCTGTGTATCACTGCGCAACACAGCAGTTCCTATGTTGTGTTTATTTGAGCTTTCATGCATATTACACATTTTTGCTGTTTATGGTCAGGGACTATTTTTTTTCTAGCGGAAGGAAGGCTTTTAGTGATATTTTACTTCATGAAAATTGCACTAATACATTTTTTTTTTTTACTTTTAATTTTGTGTGTGTGTGTGTGGAAACCGTTTTATAAAAGCAATAAGGTAGGCAAGTGCTGTATGTGAATAAGTAATGGCTGAAGGGGTTATCCGCTTTGCCTAACAACGCCCTTCCGCCGTTACTTATTCACGTTACTGCACAGCCACTCCTACCTTATTGCTTAGGCCTGGCCTACATATTGATTTTTCTCAATTACTCGAAACTCCCATTAGATTTTATTCTGGATTCAGCTGCAGAAATGCACAAAAATGTCTCGCTGCTGTTCAGCGCTTTATTAGGTTGAGGTTCATTAAAATATTTTGTATTGTGAGTGTGACATTATTATCATGACAGTAAAGCACAAAAGTGACAGTAAAAACAACAAAAAAGTGAAAATAGACAATATAAACAAAAACTAATTCAAAATGTTAAAAAAAACTATTTTGTCTGAATGATACTTTAATAACAATGATCTGACTACAGACATTTCTAACTTTTAGAGTTGCTCTAATCCTGCACTAACATTGTATCAGAATTACCATAATTACAAGATTTAGAGGTGGTTATTATGTGCAATGTGCAAATCAGTATTATTGACAGCAGAAAACTTAATATCGCTTATTAATTCACCTCAGCAAAATACTGAAAAGAAAGTGCATCATGTAGGCCTAATGTTTGCGGTTTTTCAATGTGTAATAATAATGTTAACATGAGAATAATGTTTTTATGGTAATTCTGATTGATGAATGCAACAGAAAAAAATAGTTTTGCTGGTTTTTATTCATCCTGGAATTTCACTGAACGCCATGCTTTTTAAATTGTTTATAAATAACCATTAATAAATTTAACTTTTAAGGACATTGATGGCCCTGAAGCAAATCATTTTAGAACTTTTTGGAAGTAAATTTCTTCAGGCTGAAAACTTCCAAGGAAACTCAAATGTTGCACTGCATAAACTTGAGTTTGAAGGTGAATCTTGTCTGCTGGTGTTTGGATGGATTATTGTGGTGAGCGTGCCCTTTTCCAGCTCTGTTTTCAGCTTCAAACTCGTCGATGGCAGCTGTCAGTGTTTCCTTTGACTGGCGTCTGTCTCTCACAACATGTATGAACGATCTCTTAATGTCACACCTTATCTCTCGGCTCTTATCCTCCTCACAAGTAATGAAAAGCCAAATGTCACCCGATAAGACGGGAACATGAGCGCCTGTTACCCCAGAGCCATGACGGAAAGAAGGAACAGATTGAGAGAAAAATGTTTGACAGAAATCACACCAACATAAGCCACTTACCAGAGAAAAGCTGAGTTTCATGTATTTGATAAAGAAGTGCTTTGGTGATACAATGCAAATAAAAAACTATTAAACATTTAGGTTTAAGTTTATGTGTCCTTGCTTCTGTTTAATGAAATGCTTTAAATACATTGTTTATATTGACATGACAAACATTCAATATGTGTTTTTGAAAGAGTCTCTTCTGCTCATCAAGGCTACATTTATTTGATCAAAAATACATTGAAAACTGTGAAATATAATTAATTTTTACCAGCTGTTTTCTATGTGAATATATAGTAAAGTGTAATTTATTCCTGTGTTAAAAGCTGAGTTTTCAGCATCATTACTCCAATCTTCAGAGTCACATGATCCTTCACAAATCACTCAAATATGATGATTTCCACCCACCTCTGGTCTTGACTACACCTCTAGTCTTGGTTGGTCTTGACTACACCTCTGGTCTTGGTTGGTCTTGACTACACCTCTGGTCTTGATTGGTCTTGACAACACCTCTAGTCTTGGTTGGTCTTGACCACACCTCTGGTCTTGGTTGGTCTTGACTACACCACTGGTCTTGGTTGGTCTTGACAACACCTCTAGTCTTTGGTTGGTCTTGACTACACCTCTAGTCTTTGGTTGGTCTTGACTACACCTCTGGTCTTGGTTGGTCTTCACTACACCTCTGGTCTTGATTGGTCTTGACAACACCTCTAGTCTTGGTTAGTCTTGACCACACCTCTAGTCTTGGTTGGTCTTGACTACACCTCTGGTCTTGGTTGGTCTTCACTACACCTCTGGTCTTGATTGGTCTTGACAACACCTCTAGTCTTTGGTTGGTCTTGACTACACCTCTGGTCTTGGTTGGTCTTGACTACACCTCTAGTCTTTGGTTGGTCTTGACTACACCTCTGGTCTTGGTTGGTCTTGACTACACCTCTATTCTTTGGTTGGTCTTGACTACACCTCTGGTCTTGGTTAGTCTTCACTACACCTCTGGTCTTGATTGGTCTTGACAACACCTCTAGTCTTGGTTAGTCTTGACCACACCTCTAGTCTTTGGTTGGTCTTGACTACACCTCTGGTCTTGGTTGTCTTCACTACACCTCTGGTCTTGATTGGTCTTGACAACACCTCTAGTCTTTGGTTGGTCTTGACTACACCTCTTGCCTTGGTTGGTCTTGACCATACCTCTGGTCTTGGTTGGTCTTGACAACACCTCTAGTCTTTGGTTGGTCTTGACTACACCTCTGGTCTTGATTGGTCTTGACAACACCTCTAGTCTTGGTTAGTCTTGACCACACCTCTAGTCTTGGTTGGTCTTGACTACACCTCTGGTCTT